TTTATTGTGGAATCGTGACTAATTGATTATTCTATTGAGTTGGGGATTCTTCATGAGAGACGATCGTTGAATGAGATTTAAAGATTTCAAGTTTATTATTATTATAAATATTACATCATGAAGTGAAAATATTGTTTGTGATGCGGAAAACTGAATTTGTAAGGTTAATAATTAATGAGCACCAAATTACGTCCTTCAAGTTGAGAAGATTGAGAATGGGAACATGGAAGTAGAGAGTCTTCATAAACCCATGCACCATGTTAATTCGGTATATACAAGTTTCTAGAAGCTGTAGGATCCGGATAACAACACGAATGTTATAGGGTTGATCTATTACATAAACAATGCACGTGGAAAACAAAGAAACCCTAGCATGCATCTAGTAATCATAAACAAGTTTAAGATTTACCAAACGGATCGTTTCCGTAATAATCACCACTTCCATCTTGATCAGCGGCCGGAGGGCATCCATACTGTGCAATCGGTGAGAATCCTCCGCATATCACCCCACATCTACACTGAGTTAACAAGAATTTGATTGGAGAAGGAGATGACGACTATTATATGAAGTTTATTTCTCTCTATATGTCTTCATGAACACCCTTTACTTATTTACAGGGTTCTAGAGAGTTAATAGCCTAGTTCAACTAGGTTTCACCCGTATGGGTAATCCACCCACTAATTTGGGCGGACCCCACAAGTAAAACCAACAGAAGCATTCACTGATTTGGGTTCATTTCCCGTCTCCACGACGATCCCTAGATTGAAGAAAAGGAGGTGACTTGCGATTGTCATAAAGTGAACGAATGAAAGGTACTTAAACATTGGTCCATCCAAGAATTTAGATCGAAGATAAAAACAATGTGAGCATATAGCCACATATTCCCCCCTTTTCCGAAGATAGTAACTGACAGTAAATAAGGAGCAGATCTGCGTAGCCTTTTCTGTTAGTATTTACTTATGATTCCTTATATTTATTTATTTTTTCTGCTGTCTAAATACCTCGTCATATGCTCTATATACCGATTGTTACCAACCATTACCTGCATATATCTCTGACTTCAATTTATTGGCAAAAACTGTAGCGAGTCTACCGATGCATTGACAGAGGGTCTTATACTGCGGGTCCTTTGAATCCCTTCACTCCAGTCTTTACTCCAGCAAGCCCTCCTTAAGTCGCTAGCAGTTCTAAAGATATCTGGGCAATCATGATGCCCTTACTCTGACTTTGTCTCTGGTTGGTGATGATGTCTCCACTCTGACTGTGTCTCTTGCCCCCAGCGTGTTTGTAGTGCTTCAAGCATGAGTCTAGCAGCGGAATCTCCTCCACACACACCAAGCAGCAGCGATGATTTTGCAGCATTCCTTGATGCCGAGTTGGAATCGGGTTCCGAAACTTCTCCTGACGAGGATCATGAGAATGTCAAAGAAGAGGATGAATTTCTAGAGCGAAATGCCAAAAGGCGCAAAGTGGAGGACTTGGAAAGCACAAAAGAGCTTGAGGGATCAGTAGCAGTTGAGATGAATCAAGAGAATATAGGCACTTCATCAGAACCTCTATGTCCTCCACATCCTGGCTTTATTAAAGGCATGTGCATAAGATGCGGTCAGCTTGAGGATGATGACTCTGGGATTGCATTTAGTTACATTCACAAAGATTTGAGGCTAGCCAGTAAGGAAATCAATAGGCTTTGTGGAGCAGACCTACAGAATTTGAAGCGTGCAGAAAAGTTAATACTGATATTAGACTTGGATCACACTTTACTCAATACAACTCGGCTAGAAGATATCTCTCCGGGAGAGGAGTATCTGAAACATCAGGTAGATTCAATGCAAGGTAATCCAAATAGAGACTTATTCAAATTGGATCATATTCGATTGATGACAAAGTTGAGACCATTTGTCAGAAGTTTTTTGAAGGAAGCAAGTAGTATGTTTGAAATGTATGTCTACACTATGGGTGAGCGTCATTATGCACTTGAAATGGCCAAGATCCTTGATCCTGATAAAGTCTACTTCGATACAAGAGTCATTTCACAAGCTGATTCAACTAAAAGACATCAGAAAGGCCTCGATGTAGTGTTGGGAGCTGAAAATCTCGTAGTGATTCTAGATGACACAGAGTTTGTGTGGCAGAGGCATAGAGAGAACCTCATTCTGATGGAAAGATACCATTTTTTTACATCTAGCTGCCGTCAATATGGGTTTAATGCAAGATCGTTATCGGAATCGAAGCAAGACGAAAGAGAGGCGGATGGTGCGTTGTCGATCATTCTTAATGTTCTCAAGCGTGCCCATCAAATGTTTTTTAACCTCAAAGCAGATTTTGAATCGAGAGACATAAGGCAAGTGCTAAAAACCATTCGACATGAGATACTGCAAGGATGTAGGATTGTTTTCAGTCGGGTGTTTCCATCAGAGGCAGATGCTGCAGATCAACCAATTTGGAAGTTGGCTCAACAAATGGGGGCCGTTTGCTGTACAGAAGTTGATTCATCTGTGACTCATGTTGTCTCCACCGATAAGGGCACGAAAAAGGCTCGCTGGGCTTTGCAGAATGAGAAGTTCTTAGTTAACCCTCACTGGATAGAAGCAGCTAACTACTTGTGGAGTCGACAGCGAGAGGAAGATTTTCAAGTCAACAGCTGTTTAAAGGACCCGCTATCAGTAGCTATTTGATGTTTTCGTCTGTGATGTTTTCTTCCTCCAAACTTGTGAGACGTTGAGGAACTGTACACTATCTTGGGAGACCAAAACTCTCAAAAACGTTTTAATTTTCATGATGAAGGAATTAGTTAGAACTTTGAAAGTTCAAAGGAAATCATTTGTTGCATGTTGGCACATATAAATCTCGTTTATTCAGTTAACAGCTACTCCTTTGCTGAAGCTGGTGCAGCTATGCAACCCGTACCCGCCAAAGGTAAAGAATTCTCATTGTTTCTCACTGTTCCAGTGTCAGTCGCATCACAGGCAAAGTGACACAGTAGTTTATGCTACTGTTGCCTCATTTGAATTGTGTATTGCCATCCTAGCCACTTTTATCTTTTAGATAGTTGTTAACTTCACTGAGGAGATAGCCTCAAATAGAGCAGCTGAATGAAATATTCGGATTCAATTTAGCTGGCCCCAAAATTTTGAGATAGTTAAGTTGTTATTGTATCGTTTACAATTAATATTGGTTCGTGAGAGGTAACGGAACTCGTTAGGACCTTATTTCAGAATATCTGATGTTCAAACTTTTTACACCCATTATGGACATATTGTTAGTTGTCTGGATATTTCCTGAGAAGAGAAGATTATAGCATCCAGTAAGCCTGATATGGATCATTCTGCATCAAGAAAAGCTTGCGAGGTTTAGAACCGAACCATATGTTGTTGGTCCAAATTCTGAACCAGGGTCCAGGCCCAGAACGGCTCCTTTATGGATCGTTGCTTCATGGGACCAAAAATATAAGTTAAGAGTTGCGAGAAGTAAGATCGTTGCTTCATGAGGTATTTATGACACAAAATGGAAAGTGGCATCCACGTCACTACTTTCCATTAGGGTTTTTTTACATTGCTTGGTTTAGATTTCTTGTGAATCCTATCATGATGTTAATACTTTGTTCGGAATGGATTACGTAAACTTGGAAAGTGGTAGTTATGTGGACCCTATACAATTTGCCAATTTACACCCAAATCTTCCCTATAAATTTACCAACTTATCTCCCCTATAAGTAGATGCTTGCAAATTTAAACCCAAAATCTGATTCATTTGGTTTAAAAATACACCTCAAATGCTATAAGTTTAAGAGAATTCTCAAAATATTCCTGTTTTACATTAGAGTTTAAGCTAAAATTTTAATTAACTAAAATACCGTCCATTGGACGTATTATGGTTAGTATTGTTAATTAATCAAAGTTAATTATTTTTTATTGATTATAATTAGGAAAAAAGAAGGGAGAAGAGATGGAGGAGACCGGATTTACATTCTAGAACTATGTTACATTCTAGAACATAGTAGAACAATACGAACTAGATAAAAAATTTTACTCGAAAGTTGATCACTAGAAATATTTTGAAATTCAAAACTATAGTTTGTTGGACATCATTCATGCATAGAAGTAACTGCAGCATTAAATTACTAAACAAATATTTTTCTGATAATTAGAACGTTGGTGTTTTTTTTGCATGGGTGAAAAAGGAAAAAATGAACTTAGGCTACAAAATCATCTCAACATTCAGGAAGATAAGGGAAGATTTTTCATGCTATACAAACTGTGAAAGCGGAGATGTAATGGAAAGGTGGCTAAAAAGTAACAAATTGGACTGAACTAGGGAACGAGGGGAAAATGAGGGGGCTAGTTGAGCTTTTGTCATTTTTTATTATCCACTTTTTGACAATAAGTCAGCTTTTAATCTAAATCCACTCATTTTTGGCTGAATTGCAATTTCATCGTCACACCAGCTTGGTAGGGGACTAGGGGTGCATTCGGTCCGGATACGGTTCGGATATGATGTTTATCATATCCATATTCGCTTACGCATCTCGGATACGGATATACATCGGTAAGGAAAATTTATAACCATATCCACTAAAATCGGATACAGTTACGGATATACATACGGATATATAAGCGGATATACATGCGGATACAAAACAGATATGAGAAAACTAGATAGTATTGAGAAAAACATAGTTCATGTGTGTAGGCGTCAAAAATTGCCTATAGGTCTCCGAATACAGCTCGAGACAGAAAGAAGGTGATGAACGCCATTATCTAAGTCTAAGAGGATTATCCAACGACGATGAACTCATGAAGCAAATCGGCGAACCGAATAGCATGTGCACTCACCGGCCACCACCAAGTGGCCCGCACGCTCATCGACCACCAAAACGGCGTACAGATCAACGAAACGATGAAATATGCGTAACGACGGAACGAGTCAAACCCGAGAAAACCAAGAAAGTCTCTAGCGGCCGGATCACGTCAAAACGATCCGGTCGGGCTAGTGGCTCCCCCCCGGTTTTGACGGTTTTTCTTGGGATTTGTTCGTTCCTGAGCGTCCTAACTGATCTGATACTGTGGTTATTCAGTTCTCAACTGAAGATAAGGAGGAATCCCTCGTTCTTATCCAAATACCTGCTCCCGAAGCTTATAAATAGGAGCTCGGGTGCTCATTTCTCCGGGGAGGACATCAAGAGGGCGAAACGCTGCCGAATTGGAGAGTGGAGCCACGAATTTACAGCGAGTGTTAGCAGGTCTTTGCGATCTCCTGTGCATAAAGAGTGGAGTTCGAGAGATCCGAGACCCGTCCCCTATTCTTCCGGATTTAAGCTTAGTCTTAAATCTCGAGAAGAGCCGTGATCTCGCTTGGTCGAGATCATCGCTGTAGCGATTACTTCCTTCGTGAAGTGAGAGCTTTGATCATTTATCTGTCAATCGGATCTGATCCACGGCGGTTCACAGATATTAACGTCCTCGGCACAGGCAAAGTTCCCACGCAAGAAGCGGGTGATAAACATCTGTTGTGTGTTGTTTGAAGGAATTGTAATCTTATATTTTCATTGTGTAAGAAGATCTTATAAAAAAATCGACTTTTTATTTATTTGAGTTTATTGTAACGGCTAAAGTTGTAATAGTTTCGATGACAATGAAAATAGCAATTTCTGACCCAAACACGCTGGCGACCATAGTGAGAGCCAACAGCTTCGCTGTCGAAGCTGTCATGCCGCAACCAAGGATCCAGATCCCGGTTGAAGAAGTGGTCGAGTACGAATTCGACCAACTGAAGTTCGAGGAGTATCTGTTGTCATCCTCCTCCAGATCCTCTGCCCCTCACAAGCGCATGAAGATCAAGGCCCGCGTTGCCGTTGAAATCTCACCTTGCAAAGCCCCTCCGGCCTCCAACGAGCTCGGATCTACAGATCTGGACCCTTCCTCTGTCAAGGAGTCAATCGCAGAAGGCACGCCAACCTTATCAAAGAGGGCACGCCAAAGACAGCGCCAACGACTTGCACGCTGACTTGCTAAGGCTTTAGAGCCTATTGACGGGATTGGCTATGAGACGGATATGAAACGCAGAAGGCACTGAGTGTCCCAGCAGCAAATAAATGGCCTCTCCTCCAAACCAACAGCGAATGAGTGGATCCAAGTCGAACGGACCCGCTCAACCCTCGAGGAGCGTATTCAGAAACGTCGCGCCTTGATTGCGCACGCGCGAATTCTCGTGCGAGAAGCGCAGAAGCTGAAGCAAAAAGAGGTGATCAAGAAGCTACCGAAACCACGCCAAGTCTGGAAACCAAAGTCCGAAACGACATCGGCAAAAAGTCAAACAGCGTCCGGAACTGCCAAAATATGCGAACCACCATCTGGTGGCTCGGCCTAATCCGAGCCACCAGTCGGTTCGCGTCCGGTTCGGTTCGGTTCGGTTCGCACCCGATTCACCTCTCACAGTCCCGTTTAAGCCTCCGACGGTCCATGTTTCTGTCCCGATGAATCACACACCTCCGGCAGGGCCTCGCGACAGCGTGGACTTGTCCTAATTCAAGACGAGGATGACGGATCGCTTGGGTCCTTTACACGAGGATCGAGGCAAAGTTCCGATCAAAGAACGCTTGGGTCCAGTGACTGAACCCCAAGCAACCACTCGAGCTAGGAGTCGCACACGTCCTCGCAACAAGTCAGAGCCTTCCTATAATGGGAAAACCCCTGCAATTGATCACCTCGTACGGCGAATTAAAGACCAGGAGCCCGTTGAGATCCCACGCTCCCAAAAGCGTGGTTCCAAATACGTGACTCTTGAGAACGCTAATAAAGCAGCAAACCCCCTGAAAGAAACGTATTCATCTGATAATGACAACGTTATACCAGGGGAGTCGTGCCAACACATGATAGGTTGCTCTGGTCATCTGACAGACGAGTTGTACTATTGGGCTGAGGGTACGAACAAGTCTCGAAAGAGAAATACCCGGGAAATAAAATCTCACTGTCCGTGCGTAGAACTTATCAGGGCAGTATTATCAACGTGTAACTGCCCCAAGACTGCTCCACAGAGGGTCTTGGTATTCCAAAGGCTCTCCTCGAAAGCGTCGAAAACCAAGCTAAGGCGTTTACGCAAGAAACGATCGGCTATTCGAGATGACGAACTCTCAGAAGTTACCATCAATATGGTCGATAAGGGAAAGTCCCCAATGGTTCCAAGTGGTTCTAGCCCCAACTTTTCTCCAGGAAGAAGAGTTAATTTGGGAATAGCTCGACTGATGTCTCGACTCCAGCTGGAAGCGGTCGGACCTGAACAATCCGCAGTCACAGTTAATATGGCTGGTAGAGGAAAGTCAATTCAACCCTCTGGTTCTGATCCTCTCATATCGCATCGTCTAACCCGTTTACGATGGGGAACCATTAGACAAAGGGACTATCAGAGGATTAATCGAGGATTATCCTCGGATGACGAAGTGTCAGATTCCAACTCTGCAGTCGCTTCTGACAATGCGATCTCCAGCCTAGGTCAATCCCACGAAGCATTCATGATCAACACCGAACAAGTAACTAAAATGGTTGAAGATGCCTTGGCCAAGCAAAAAGAGAACTTTAAGTTCGAAATGAAAATGGCTATGCTACGGATAAGGGAAGAGCATGACCAACAAATTCGGACTTTGTCCAATTAGTTCGGTGAATCCAACCGTCGCAACCTTGCTGACCAAACAAGTAGCGATTCAGATGTGGATGAACGTCTCAATGCTGAGAACCCTCCCGTTGATCAGAACACTGGGGGTGGTCCCACGGAAGATAATAACATCGGGGGTGGTCCCGCCAATGATGATAACA